AGAAAGTCAATTATTGTATGGTTTCACTTATTTGTGGAACATAAGGAATAGCATGGAGGACATTAGGAGAAGGAAGGGAAAAATGAAGGGGGGGGGAATCGGAGGGGGAGACGAACCATGAGAGACTATGGACTCCGAGAAACAAACTGAGGGTTTTAGAGGGAGGGGGCTGGGGGGATGGGTTAGCCCGGTGATGGGTATTATGGAAGGCATAATACTGCATGGAGCACTGTGTGTTATATGAAAACAATGGATCATGGATCACTACATCAAAAACTAATGATATATTTTATGGTGACTAACATAACATAATAAAATTAAATTAAATTAAAAAAAAGATAGAACATTTTAAAACCAAAAATGCAGAAAGTCTATAATCTCAGAATAAAGAACAGTTCTTTCAATTGAGCAAATTTAGCTTTAGGTAAAAATCACTATATTTTTAGTTCTTATATTTTGCAGCAAACTAGGAAAAGTAGTATTGACTAGTCTTGGGCTACACACCCATCTTTGGGCTTCAGAAATCACTCAAGCTCCTCACTAGTGTCCATTCCTATATATGAAGCTCTGTATGAAAAGATTCTTTCAGAACAAAAATGTCCAACACACACAAAATTGTGAAGGGCTATGAAAAGTTTGACTTCTCTGAGGTTTGGTATATTTTCTCTTCATGGAAAATGCAAATTATGTAGCTGATTAGGTTTCCTTTTTTGTTTTGGCTACCTGGTCACAGGTACAGCTCAACTTTAGAAATTGAGTAGGATCCTATGACCTATACATATGAATTCTAATTAACCTCCCTACCTGGTCTTCACCTTTGATATTCGTTTATATTTTCTTAGATGCTGGTTTATTTTACTTGTAATTTTTCTCTTTTATTGTAACCTTACTTATAAGCTGCCTTAAAGTCTTTATGAAATGGGGTGATGTAATTCCACTCAACATTTACCCATTGTCCCCATACCATATACTCTTGCATACTTTCCAGTCATCGATGCATTATTTCCTCTTCCTGGATCATTCTTAGCTCTTTTTTCCCACCTGCCACATTTCTATATATCCCTGGACACTGAGCTCAAATATTACCACTTCTGTGAACATTCCCAGACCATGACCATCTACCTATCATTCTCTCTCATCCCACTCTAGCTAAAACAGTACTTTTGTACATGTTTCTAACTAAGACATTTGTTACACTGTAGTGTTGTGATATTGACTTGCCTGCCTCTGTTACTGGACTTTGAGCTTGAAGGCAAGGATTGAGCCATGCCCATTTTGATCCCCTGGACCCTAGTTCAATATATTTTTAATGAATGGATGGCTGAATAAAAGCACAAATGAACAAAATAGATAGGAAGCCTCTGAGTTGTCATTCAAGAGGCATCTCATACATGAGATGTATGAGCTGCATTAGGGAGAAAATATGGGGGTTCTAAAAGTACTGAAGGCAGTATGTGGGCAGGAATCTTATCTTTTTTTTTTTTTTTTAAAGATTTTATTTATTTATTTGACAGAGAGAGACACAGCGAGAGAGGGAACACAAGCAGGGGGAGTGGGAGAGGGAGAAGCAGGCTCCTGGCTGAGCAGGGAGCCCGATGTGGGGCTCGATCCCAGGACCCTGGGACCATGATCTGAGCCGAAGGCAGACGCTTAACGACTGAGCCACCCAGGCACCCCATCTTATCTTTTTTTGTTCATTGCTTTATCCGCAGGGCTTCTCACAGTACCTTGCATATAGCAGACCTCAGTAAATATTTCTTGTATGAATGAATGTGCAAATGATCTCACTTGGCCACTCTTTGTAATAATTTCCATGGGGAGTCTTGAGAGTACCATCACTGGGTAAGTGTTAAGCTTGTTTTACGGAGGTACTAATTCTATTTGTTATAGTGTTTTATATATCATTGGCTTTCAGTGAAGTGTCCACCATGCTGATGAACAGTGCTCTCCTTTCTCAGGATTTCAACCTTATCTGCCACTGAAGGCATATTCTTTTTGTGGAAGATATTAAATATAATGAAACCACAAGTCTGGCTCTCCTTGGGGAGCTTGTAGAGCAGTGGCCTGTCATGTGTCACACATCCTCATTCTTTCTTTCTGTTCCCATCAGAGTTGGCCTTCTGGGTTCAGTGAGAACTGCCTTTTTAAAAAAAAAAAAAAAAAGAAGATTTTATTTATTTGAGAGAGAGCGAGAAAGAGCGAGAGAGAGCGAGCATGAGTGGGGGTGGCAGAAATAGAGGGAGAAGCAGACTCCCCGCTGAGCAGGGAGCCTGATAGGGGGCTCGATCCCAGGACCCCAGGATCACAACCTGAGCCAAAGGCATATGCTTAACTGACTGAGCCACCCAGGCACCCTGAGAACTGCCTTCTTAAAAATGACAATGCCCGTGGATGGGCAGTGTCTTGCTCTGGGAATAAGGTCCATAAGTCCATACTTTCCAACATCTCCTATTATGGAAGTGACATAGTCAATAAAGTGGAGACACCATAAGGAGAGACACTTCTCCTTTGGGACTTCACAGGCTCCACATTTGGATGCTAAGGATATTTTAACTGAGGGGAAAATAAAGGAAGCAGCACACAGTATTCAATGAGTACTCCTTAATCTGTCCATCCTTGGATTCATCTGCAATGACGGGCTGAACGATGCTCCTTAAACAGAAGGCCTGACTCTTTTTGGTCCCTCTCTTCATGTGAAAACTAACATTAGTCTTATTTGACCAGCTTGGAAAAGCAAATACTCTTGCAGGAAAGACAACTGCCAGCCAGAGGGGACCTCCTAATCTGCCATCATTGTGGATTAACTTTATTGAATAGCAGCTGTACAAAACACCATGTTAGATGAAAGGGAGCTCCAAACCAAAACCCAGAGATGGCCTGTCTCTGCTCCCCACTTAATGAACATAATAAGCCAGACACTGCCCTGACGACAAGTATGTGTCCAAGAGACTCAGCTTCCATGACAGTATGGATTTGAGCTCTCTAGGGCAAGTCAAGGAAGCTTATGTATCATTTGTTTTTCATCAATACCAAAAGCCTTTTCTATTGTCACAGGCCAGATGAGACAGCACACAAAAAAAGGTCTGCTGTCTCGGTAGGAAACCTAAGGGGCAGAAAAGTAGTTGAATTACTGAGCCATCAGTGGGTGACCTCAGGGAACAGTTCCATGTGGCTCACTGTCTGCCATTTCCATTTTAAGGAATCTCGAGGGGCCGAGAGAGGATTGGGGATGTTTTAGCCCATTCGGTTAAAACATTACATAATAGAGATAACAGGCACCCTTTCCCAAAACCTGGGCAAGAAGAAGGGTACGCAGCATTGGAGTGTGGTGCCAACCTTCCATTTCTGTGGACACCCCCTCAGATTTACAGGGAACAGTCAGTGGTGCCATTGTCCAGCACCTCTCCTGGGGAAGATTTCATTTCTGCATTCGTTAACCTTCACCATTGCTAAGAATACAAATGAGCCATAATTCAATTTTTTGTGAGCCATATATCAGATATGAACTTGAGACAATAATAGTAGCTAAGTTCACTGAGAGATTACTGTGAACCAGGCATCATTCTAGGACTTTAATGTATTAATTCATTAATCCTCACAACAACCCTGTGACATAGGTGCTATTATATCTTTGTTTTACAGATGAAGAAACTGAGGCCTCGAGAGGTTAGGTAACTTGCTAATGTTTACACAGCTACTTAATGGTAGAACACAGATTTATTTGAACCTAGGCAATCCAAATCCAGAACCCATGTTCTAACCTCATGGTTAAACTGACTTCTTAAAATAATACAGAGGAGAAAAAAATAGTTCACCCAAAACTCAAGTGATTTTACAGATAGCTTCACAAAGTATGTCTCAGCCCAATACTATTGTCCCATGTATTTTTTTTATATTTATTATGCACCTACTGTGTTCCAGGTCTTTTTTTTTATTAACATATAATGTATTATTTGTTTCAGGGGTACAGGTCTGTGATTCATCAGTCTTACACAATTCACAGCGCTCACCATACCACATAACCTCCCCAATGTCCATCACCCAGCTACTCCATCCCCCCAACCCCCTCCACTCCAGCAACCCTCAGTTTGTTTCCTGAGATTAAGAGTTTCTGATGGTTTGTCTCCCTCTCTGGTTTCGTCCCATTTCATTTTTTCCTTTCTTCCCCCATGATCCTCTGCCTTGTTTAAGACAAGAAGGGCACTACTAAACTAAATATCAGTATATCTGGATGGCTCAGTCAGTTAAGCATCCAACTCCTGATTTCAGCTTAGGTCATGATCGCAGGGTGGTGGGATAGAGCCTGGTGTGGGGCTCTGTGCTCAGCGGGAAGTCTGCTTCTCTCCTCCTCCCCCTGCCCCTCCCCCTTCTCATGTGCTCTGTCTCTCTCTCAAATAAATAGATATATAAATCTTAAAAATATATCTGCATTTCTAAGATCTGGTTTCCAAAAAGTCAAATAACTTTCCGTAGAGCATAGCTAAAGATCACTGAAACACAAAGTTGAAGGGGACCCTGAGAATCTATTTCTTCATAGTGCTTAAGAAAATAGGATATAGATAAAGAGGGCTAGAAGTAGAAATTAAAATTACTCTTGACTTTTCAAATGTCTGGTTGGAGGTGGATGTGAGGAATACTCATTAGAGCTGACAGTGGCTGCATGGCACCCAAATGCTTTCAATTTAAGTGGCAGCTTAGCAGCCATTTGAAGGAAGTATGTTAGTATTTCCTTTATCTTAAAGAGCATATAGTACTACTAATACTAATAATAATGATGATGGTTAACCTTTATGGAGTGCTTATTATATGCCAAACATTGGGATAAGCATATTATTTAATCTTCACAGCAATCCTATGAAGTAGATACTACAGTTATTCCCATTTTACAGATGAGGGAACTGAGGTACAGACAGGTCAAGTAACTGGTGAGAGGTCATATAGCTAGGAAGTGGCACAGCAAGGATCCAAACCCAAGCAGTCTGTCTTTGAGGCCTATGCTGTTAAATACTAAGCAAGATACCCTCTCTGTAGGAATAGTCCTCTGAGTTACTGTTAAGAAAACCTACCTAGTTTTTTAGGCCTGTTATTGTCCCAGCATAGGCTTTGGGCCTATAATGATGGTTTGGATGATTTTTTTACTCTCTATGCTAAGCCTTTCTTCCTTCACATTATAGATGGGTAGCTAAGCATCAAAGATTACTGTGTGAGCATAGATTTATGTTTAGATGTGGTAATTTACAAATTATCTGATATAACTAACATAGAGTTCCCTTGGCATCAGAGCAGATCTGGCCTCAACATTTTTCCCAGGACATATACCCACACAGTTCAGATTTCTATAAACTGGTAATAATGGAAGGCAAATCAGATTGTCTAATCTCTCTAGACTATAAGAGATTGTGACTCAGGACCACTCTATATGGAGCTATAAAATAATATATAATGTTTTAGTTTAAATTGTATTACAGTGAAATAATGAAGAAGAACTAAATTTAAAGACCTATTATACCCTTTAGAAATATCTGTAAGAAATATATTAACAATGATTTTAAAGTATTTTAATAGCCAACATGTTTGAGCACAAGAACGTGCCAGGCATTGTCCTAAGCACAACTGTCACAAAACCCCTAAGGGTTACGTATTATTAGTCTGATTTTATGAATGAAGGAATTGAGTCTCCTAGAAGATATTTAACTACTCAAGATAAAGTAGTGAAAGAAACAGGCTTGGAAGTCAGGCAGATTGACTCTAGGGTCTGAGCACTTAACTATTATGCAATACTGGCTCCTGTCATAGCACCTGCTGATTCCAGATTGGCCCCACTAGTCATTCGAAACCCAAGGAGATCTATGGTCCAATCATTCGGCCCTCAAAGGATCCCTGGTTGCTCATTTCAATCATGGTTGGTCTAATGAAGTAGGATGCAATCTAGTCAATGACAGTCCAGAGCATGAATTATAGTTTGGTGGGGCAGTTCTTTGCCTCTGCCATATATAGAATCCAAGCTCCTTTGCCCTCCACCCATTTCTAATTCACATATTTTTTTTCTTTACATTTGGCTACTTTTATGCTTGTTTCCTAGTTTCTATGTAACCAAATTTCTTAATTTATTATTAAGATTATTAAGCATCATTTCCTACCCTACCATGTCCCCATTATAACTTATAAGGATTCAAAATCTGAACTGGAATTATGAAATTATTTTTTGGGGAGTGGGGGTCACTAACTATATAAACAAATGGCACAACAAAGTGGCATCACTCTAGATCCATTTCTCAACTTTACTGTGTTTGTGAATAACCTGGGGATCATGTTAAAATGCAGCTTCTGATTCAGTAGGTCTGGGTTGGGGCCTAAGATTCTGGGCTTTTTTTTTTTTTTTTTAAAGATTTTGTTCATTTATTTGAGAGAGAGAGGGAGTGAGAGAGAGAGAGCACAAGCAGGGGGAGCAGCAGAGAGTGAAGTAGGCTCCCCGCTGAGCAGGGAGCCCGACGTGGGATTCGATCCCAGGACTCTGAGATCATGACCTGAGCCGAAGGCAGACGCTTAACTGACTGAGCCACCCAGGCGCCCAGATTCCGGGCTTCTTAACAGCTCCCAGGTTTTGCAGATTATACTTTGAGTAGCAAGGTACTTGATCAGCTTGGTTCTGTCATTCTTTTAAGTAGGATCACAATTAAATGAACCTGGAGAGATTAACGTTTAGGATATTTTAAAAGCACTGAAACGGCAATTCCCTAATGTCTTCACAAATCCATTTTAATGGTTAATAATAGTTCTGGCAGCACAGAAGACTTTTTTTGTGTTTAAACCAAATGCTTCAGATGCTGTGGCATTTTTCTTCTGATTTTATCCTTAGTGGACATGGAATCAGTACACCATGTCCATTCTCTTAATGGTTACTATGTTTAAAAAAATATGAACAGTTATTCAATGTGAACAACTTTGGGATGGTTCCCACCATCTTCTTTCCCCCACTTTAGGAATCCATGATTTTTGAGGTGTCTAAGTCCATTCTCATTTCCGCTCCATGTTTATCTGTCTCCTCTAAATCTATAAAATTAGATAAACTTTGTAATTCCTTTCCAAATCCTGTTGTCTTTTATTTCAATGAGCTATTTAAATATTTAATGACCATATCTTGCATCAGATATATCCCTACCTTGCCTATAGTGCAATAGGGAGTATACTAGTAACTACTGGCCACCCAGCCTATAAAGCTCATATTACAAAAATGCACAGTCTAGGCAGAATCTGGTAAATGTCAACTTCAAAATAAGTTGTGTCATACTGTTATATTTATTACCACATGGTCAATAAAAAGAAACACTTGTGACGTGATTAAAAATAGCATACCAGGTAAAATTGGTTGTCCAGCGATTCCCAGTGGTGCCATTCCAAGATTATTCATTGCTGTGGCCCATGCAGTTGGATCAGACATAGGTAGCGTCATTGCAGTGGAATCCACATTCAGAGTTCTACTATTATCAGCTAAAGAGAAATGACAAGTAAAGTAATTTGTTGTATTAAGGTTTCAGTATATAGTTTGCTTAACAAACTGGCAAACTCTTTACAGAAATGGACTGATGGACAAATGGTAGATAGGGCCTTAATTCCAGCTCTTTACAAGGGTTAAAACAATATGGCTTGAATTGGCAGGAAGTCATAGAATTTGAAAGCAGTTTACCAGATGGCATTTTAGTGTGTTTCTTTCTTTCTCTCTCTGCTCCCTCTGTTCCTTCCTTCCCTTGTTTTTTTTTTTTAATGAAGACTTTATTTTTTTAGAGCAATTTTAGGTTCACAGCAAAATTAAGGTACAGAGATTTCACATGTGCCCCCTACCTCCACACATGCACAGCCCCCCATTATCAACATTCTGCACCAGAGTGGCACATTTGCTACAACTGATGGATCTACACTGATGCATCATAATCACTCAAAAGCCATAGTTTACATTAGGGTTCACTCTTGGTGTTGTACGTTCTATGGGTTTGGACAAATATATAATAACATGTATACATCATTCAGAATATTTTCACTGCCCTAAAAATCCTCTGTGCTTACTTATTCATCCCTCCCTGCCCCCCAACCCCTGGCCATTACTGATCTTATTCCATCTCCATAGTTTCACCTTTTCTATAATGTCATATAGTTGGAATCATACAACATGTAGCCTTTTCAGACTGGCTTCTCTCAGTAGTATGCATTTAATGTTCCTCCATGTCTTTTCATGGCTTGATAGCTCATTTCCTTTTAGTCCTGAATAATATTCCATCATATGGATGCACCACAGTTTACTTATCCATTTACCTACTGCAGGACATTGCAGTTGTTTCCAAGTTTTGACAATTATGAATAAAACTACTATAAACATCCATGTGCACATTTTTGTGTGGACATAAATTTTCACCTCCTTTGGGTAAATGCCGAACAGTACAATCAGTGGATTGTACAGTAAGAACATGTTCAGTTTTATAAGAAACTGTCAACCTGTCTTCTAAAGTGGCTGTACCATTTTGCATTCCCACCAGCAATAAATGAGATTTCCTGTTACTCCATACCATCACCAGTATTTAGTGTCAGCATTCTGGATTCCGGCCACTCTAATAAGTGTCTAGTGGTATTTGTTGTTTTACTTTGCATTTTCCTGATGATACCTAATGTGGAGCATCTTTCCATAAGCTTATTTGCCATCTGTATATCTTCTTTAATGAGGTATCAAAGTTTTTTGACCCGTTTTTAAATTGGGTTGTTTTCTTATTGTGTTTTAGGAGTTCTTTGTATATTTTAGATAAAAGTCCTTTATCAGATGTGTATTTTGCAAATATTTTCTCCCAGTCTGTGGCTTGTATTCTCATTCTCTTTACATTGTCTTTTGCAGAATAGAAGATTTTAATTTTAATGAACTCCAGCTTATCAATAATTTCTGTCATGGATCATGCCTTTGGTGTTGTATTTAAAGTCATCGCCATATCCAAGGTCCTTTAGGTTTTCTCTTATGTTATCTTCTAGGAGTTTTATAGTTTTGCATTTCACTTTTAGGTCTATGATCCACTGAGTTAATTTTTGTGATGTGTATAAAATCTGTGTCTAGATTTTTTTTTTTTTTTTGCATGTGGATTTCCAGTTGTTCTGGCACATTTGTTGAAGAGACCGTCTTTGCTCCATTGTATTGCATTTACTCCTCTGCCAAAGATCAGTTGACTCTATTTGTGTAGTCTATTTCTGGGTTCTCTATTCTACTCTACCCATCTATTTGTCGATTATTTCGCCAATACCACACTGGCTTGATTGCTGTAGCTTTATAGTAAATCTTGAAGTTGGGTAGCATCAGCCTTCCAACTTTGTTCTTCTTCAATATTGTGTTGGGTATTCTGAGCCTTTTGCCTCTCCATGTAAATTTTAGCATCAGTTTGTTGATATCCACAGAATAACTTGTTTGGATTTTGATGGGGATTGCATTAAATCAAGTTGAGAAGAACTGACATCTTGGCAATATTGTGTCTTCCTATCCACGGACATGAAATATCTCTCCATTTATTTAGTTCTTTGATTTCATTCATCAGAGTTTTATAGTTTTCTGGGTTTTTTTCCCAACTGTATATACCATAGGAGCTTGGGATGTTTCCTATTCTTCTCATAGTCTAGTTGCATACAATTACTTCAGCAGCTTCCATCCAAACTACCCATGCATGCAAACCAAGAAAAATCATCCAAGGGCTTTCATAGTAGCAATAAGAAATGAAAAGTTATATTTTTGATGTAATTTCATATCTTTGAGGCAGTAACATTGAATAGAAATAGACACACAATCAACAGATATCAAATTAGCCAATTGAATATTTTGGGAATTAGGGAGACACCAGAGAATAAGCAGATAGAATACATAGTCCCTGCCTTCAAAGGTTATACAATCTAATTTAAGAGACCAGTGATGGTGGTACTGATTACTACTATTATCACTACTCTCACCACCTCCATCCATTACTACCACTAATTATTGAACACTCGCTATATGCTAGGTAAAGCACTTGGCATGCATTATTCTAACTTTCAAAACAACCTAATGAGAGAGACTATTTATATCTCCATTTAATAGATTAGAGGCTTTTACTTTATTTTTAAAGATCTGTTTATTTTAGAGAGAGAGAGAGTGTGCGCATGTGAGAGTGGGGGAGGGGCAGAGGGAGAGAATCTTTTAGCAGACTCCCCACTGAGCGGGAGCCTGACTTGGGGCTGGATCCCATGACCCATGAGATCACGACCTGAACTGAAACCAAGAGTCGGATGTTTAGCTCACTGAGCCACCCAGGCACCCCTAATAGATGAGAGACTTAAAGATCACATATATTGTCCGAGGTCACCCAGGTTATACACTGTTAGCCACTATGCTTTATTATCTACAGTGAAACAATTAAGAAACAATCAAAGAAATGGAATTGACCAGAAATGTTACTGAAGTTTAAGGAATGATGGGTGCCTGGGTGGCTCAGTCATTAAGCATCTGCCTTCGGCTCAGGTCGTGATCCCAGGGTCCTGGGATCGAGCCCCGCATCGGGCTCCCTGCTCTGCAGGGAGCCTGTTTCTCCCTCTCCCACCCCCCCTGCTTGTGTTCCCTCTCTCGCTGTGTCTCTCTCTGTCAAATAAATAAATAAAATCTTAAAAAAAAAAAAAAGGAATGAAAAGCTACTGTGGCTTGAGTAATGGAGAAGATAGGATTTGAACAAATGGCCCAGATTTCGACATAACATGTCTTGAGTGATGGGTAGTTATTAGATAAAGAAGAAAGAGGGGAAAAGACATTCCAGGAGCAGTGATGACATAAGCAGACAATGAAGTGGGTTATAACCATGTGCATGTGCATGTATATACTGCATAGTTGGGAGATATATAATCATAAGTCATTGGAGCACAGAAAGACTTATTTTGGGAAATTTCCCTCTGATTTCCATAGAAAAATTTTTCCATGGCTTTTCTCCTACCTCTCATGTACACTCCTGCCAATTACCTGAAGGCAACTCTGTTCTAATTGTAGCTTGCTATTTGTTAACATCTATCACAACCTTCTAACCTGGGAACATCAGGGATAATTCCTGGCCTGGTTATTTATAAAAGTGCTATTTTGGAAACTAAATGGTCAGAATAAGAAAATGCAAATGTCCAAAAACATTATTTCTGAAATATTAGTTTTTATCATTCTTCTATGCTGCCTATGTATCTTATCCAAAAACCACTCCCCCCCCCCCCACAGAGTGACTAATGGCCTTAAGCAATTGTTACTATAGTCAGAAGTCACATTTCAGAACTGGTGATTTCTCCACGGATAGAAACTCTAGCCCTCACACCCAGTTTTCAATGCTCTCCCATGAAGGCATATTATGGCTAGAAATAGCCTCCTTGTAAATGTTACTAAGGAAACAAACATGGGGCATCAAATATCCTTCGGGTCAAGAGTTTGCATATTGATTATTTGGTTCATCTGAACTCCCAATCTCCAGTCCAGGTGAGACAAGTTTTAGGGAATGTTATAGCTGGAAGGGACCCCCTGTTGAGATTATTGAATCTGCACCCTGATTTTCTCTAATGGCTGCAGAATGACTTCAAGAGGAAACATCTAGGTTTAGAAGGACTGGGCCCCCATGCCAAAAATAATTCCTTGCAACAGTCTGGTTACTCGTTGGCTCTGCAGTCCTGGGAAACATAAGAGAATCAGGAATTATTCTTTTTTTTTTTTTTTTTTTTAAAGATTTCACCCATTTATTCAACAGTCTTGCACAATTCACAGCGCTAAATA